AGAACCTTAGAGAGAAATGGAAGGTTAGATATAGGTCTATAGTTGGCTAAAACATCCGGATCAAGTTTGGTCTTTTTCAGAAGAGGTTTAATTACAGCTACTTTAAAGTACTGTGGTACATAGCCTGTTGATAGAGATAGATTGATCATATCTAGTATAGAAGTACTGACTAAGGGTAAAACATCTTTAAGCAGCCTAGTCGGGATGGGGTCTAAGAGGCAGGTCGATGGTTTAGATGAAGAAATTATTGAAGTTAGTTGGTAAAGATTGAGGGAAGCAAAACAGTCTAAACATGTATCTGGTTCTACAGCTGTTTCTAAGGATCCTGAGTTAAGAGATAAGTCGGTGCCAGTTGAGGGCAGGTCTTGGTGAATTTTGTCTCTAATAGCTAGAATTTTATCATTAAAGAAGCTCATGAAGTCGTAACTACTGAGAGCTATGGGAATACTTGGCTCAATAGAGCTGTGACTCTCTGTCAGCCTGGCTACAGTGCTGAAAAGAAACTTTGGGTTGTTCCTATTTTCCTCTATTAATGACGAGTAGTACGCTGCTCTGGCATTACGGAGGGCAAACCATAATACCATAATACGGTTTGTCTTCTTCTTCTAAGTAAAGTAGCCTAATATTAGAACTTTTTGAAGGAGTAATGAAAGCACAGAGACTGGGGGTCTCTTTGGGCCCTTTTACATGTCTGTGTCCACGTAATGATGATAACGATGCTCCCATGGCGGCTAAATGCTACAGTTAGCTGGTACATGTGAGTCAGGTGAGCACTGCAGAGTCACATTAACGGTTGTTGGGCGGCACAGCAGAGCTCCCTGAAGCCACTGGCCGGTACAAAACCAGCATCCAGAGCACCGACGATGATCACCACATCAAACGCACCTGAAAGGAGGAGAGGAGGAAGAAGGTTTCCAGATGTCATAGTTTAAACTGTCAGAGATTCACTTTTTACTCCACAACTCTGACCTTAACATCTGTAGACATGGTGTTCACTTTCATCCTCATTTCACATTAAACGCCAGGAAATACAAGTTGTGTCTCAGAAACAAATATGTAGAGTTTATGGTGATATGACCTGACGTCAGCATGTTTCATGTCACAGATGTTGATGATACATCTGAACTATTTCTTTGTTTTTTAACTTGTGCTAAAAATGCCAAATGTCCAAAATTATTCATTCCCCTTGACATCTCTAACACAATAATTTACTGTCTTCCTCACTTGTTTCTGTCACTTCCAGCCGGATGAAACCTTTTGGTGAAATTAAAACTCACCAGCAGCAGAGTGGAACTGTGGTTCTTTGTGTTTCTGTTTATTTGTTGCCACATAATCTGTTTCCTGTTCCTTTTTACCTGGTTTTCAGTAATATGTGTTTCTCCTCTTCACCTTTTGAGCCACCTGAGGACGTAACCTGTGTAATGGTGTGTGAGGGTTAATTAATAGCTCATCAGAGCCACAAAATGAAGAACCTGGCAGCCTCTGTGTGTCTCTCTCAGTGTGCAGGTCCAGATATTCCCTCCTCCCATCGTAGCTCAACGGTGCAAAGCACAGCGAAGGGAAGCTGGTGTCCTTTCAGTTCTCATTACCATTCGTAAAAGGCACAAGAGCTCAAACATTAAAAAAGTGAGGACAGTAGTCAGATACCATAGCAGACTGTGTCTTTACACATTTAAATGTCACACAAACACACAAAATTAAATGTGTGTTACAGGAAAAAAGGAGCAGGTAAATATTTATAATATTTACTTAAATGGTGCTGCTTTGGTGTGTCCAACTTCACCTGAACTCAGTCGCCTGAAAAATCCCCAAAGATGCTCGTTACAACTTATAATTAAAATACCATGAGAGCTTTTATTTTCATTCTTCTTTAAACTGAAAGGTTAGTCACTTTAAACCTTGTGTTTGTGACAGAAGTCCATTTTACCCTCTCCTCATAACCTGATGACACAGAGAGAGAGATAGAAAGACAGCTGTTACACCCAGCCTGAATATGGAGCGGACAACTTTTGTTAAACTGGTGGTAAACACTGTAGCAGTTCAATGAAACAAAACAACACAAATCCAGGAGTCAGAGTGAACATAGGCTTACAGAGTTACAGAGGCATAAACCATGAGAGGAGGAGGCTGTAGCTTTTATCTGACACAGGCTTGTGAAACAGAGCAGTGGCCTCTTGGTCTCATCTGTCTGACTGACAGTCAACCCCGCAGTCTGTTTGTTTCCTTTCAAGTACAGTAGCACAAATACCTCTTAATAAGGGCTGCACAGTGACAGTGTGTTTAGCTCTTACAACATTCAAGATGTAGCCAAAAGCTATTTCATGTTGTAGAAATCAAATCCATTACGTCCATACAGAGTGCTGAGCTCCGGCTCTCCAGCCTTTATTTTATGGCAGAAAAGTTACATAATGTTGCTTTAGTGTGCCACTGGTTATTTCAGGTATGCATAAACCACGGAATATAAAGTTCACGTAACAACTCATGGGTCCAGCCCAAGCTGAGCAACATGGTCGTGTTCCTCGGGTTTTCCTGCTGGCCAGGCTCTGCTCTGTCCAACTTCTCCTCTTTTAGGAGACCAGTGGAAGGGGGACATTAACAGCTGATGCAGACGGTCAACATTTACTGTATCACTAGAAGTCACTCGCAGCATCTAAAGTGTTAAAGATCACAAACTTAGCTACACACCAGGCTCAGGTCCGGGTCATTTACAGGTGGAGCAGAGGCCTCTTGGTGTTTCTCGATCTTTAGGTTAGCTGTGAGGAGTGAGAAGAAACTGTGGATAATCTTCTTAGATCTGCGTTTGGGTCTATTTAACCAGTTTCACTTTAAAAGGTGATGGCCACATGTCCCCAGAGACCCTAGTGTAAATGACACCAGTGGTAACATTTCATGTATGTGACTGGCAAACAATGCCCACTCGTTTTTTTAGAGCACACGTTTATATCAAATGTACACATGCAGTTAAAACAATGTGTGTCCATCTGAGTATGCTGTAGAGTCTGTGTGCTCTGTCTGTTTATCTGCTGTTACTGTCTTTCACTACTGCAGAGTTATTTACAACCCAAACATAATTGAGTGACTGTTTTCTTCCTACCTCTACCACCCTCCCAGTCTCTGCTAGGCCTACAGTAGCATCCTTCCTCCCAGCACTGGTATAAGAAGACCAGGGCTCTGTCTGTCTGTGCTGATTCCAGCAACATCCATGAACACAGTAGCCTATAGAACATTGCAGAAAATTGTTTTCTCACACACTGCTCTCAACATTGGAATACACATGAATAAAAACATTACTCACTAGTACTTAAATCTGCTCTCCTTGCCTTCACTTCTAATATTTCCACACAGGCACGGAACATACACCTCTGCTGCAAACACAGCGGCTCGCCCTACCTCTTTCTTTCTCTCTCCCTGTGTTTGTCAGCCCTGTTGACGTTCTCCATCAGCAGTGGGCTGTTTTATAAAGTGGACAAAATGACACAGCACTCGTGATTTCCACCTGTGATACCGTTTTCACCCGTGTGTGGTCGGAGGAGGCTTGTTAATGAAAAAACCAATCGAAACCGAAACCAACATTGGACCCAGTTGCACTGCTGCTTTACCTGGTCTGTGCTTGTGAAATATCCACAGTCTGTTTCTCTGCAAAATGCTTAAATGGGTCACCAGATATAGTTGGGCAGCCGTTAATGTACCTCAACGGACCCCCAGGTAAAGCTGATGTGTGGGAAACTGATATTAACAACAATCTGACCGGCCCACCCCGAAACAAATAGTCTGGCCCCTCTTGCATATGCCAGAATTACCAGGTGGCCAATCTGCCCCTGCTCAGCTTCAATCAGTAATGTTAAGAACCACAAACCAAGCCAGAAATCTTAAATCTCTTAAAGGACTTATGTCTCAGCAGGAGTCTCAGCAGGACCTGGAAAAACTTATCCATGCATTTATCTTCATTTGACTTGACTACTGTAACAGTGTCCTTACAGGCTCCCTAAGAAATCCATTCGACAGCTGCAGCTGATTCAGAACGCTGCTGCTCGAGTCCTCACTAAGACCAAAAAGGTGGATCACATCACTCCAGTTCTGAGGTCTTTACATTAGCTTCCTGTCTGTCAGAGACTTGATTTCAAAATCCTGCTGTTAGTTTTTAAATTAAGACCGAAGACTTTTCTTTTTACCATTGCTGTTAATTAAATAAATGTAAGAATGTCGTCTGCACTATGACTTTTACTGTCCCTGTTTTTATTTCCTATTTAACTCTTGAAAATGTATTTTATCCTGTTTTATTTTCTATTTCAAAAAAATTATATTGTAATGTTTTTTTTTATTTCCTTTTGTTGCTTTTATGTTTGATGTTATGTTTGAATTGCCTTGTTGTTGAAATGTGCGTTACACATAAACTTGACTTGCCTGTGTTCTGGTCTGCCCTGGTGTTCTGGTCTGGTCTCACTGTCTGTGTTCTGGTCTGTCCTGGTGTTCTGGTCTGGTCTCACTGTCTGTGTTCTGGTCTGGTCTCACTGTCTGTGTTCTGGTCTGTCCTGGTGTTCTGGTCAGGTCTCACTGTCTGTGTTCTGGTCTTTCCTGGTGTTCTGGTCTGGTCTCACTGTCTGTGTTCTGGTCTCACTGTCTGTGTTCTGGTCTGGTCTCACTGTCTGTGTTCTGGTCTGGTCTCACTGTCTGTGTTGTGGTCTCACTGTCTGTGTTCTGGTCTGGTCTCACTGTCTGTGTTCTGGTCTGCCCTGGTTTTCTGGTCTGGTCTCACTGTCTGTGTTCTGGTCTGGTCTCACTGTCTGTGTTGTGGTCTCACTGTCTGTGTTCTGGTCTGGTCTCACTGTCTGTGTTCTGGTCTGCCCTGGTTTTCTGGTCTGGTCTCACTGTCTCCTGTGACAGATACTCAGTCAGACGAGGACTCTCCTCCCTGTGAAACTAAAGCCAGCTGAATGAGCTGTGTTCCAGTAAAGCTCCACCTCTTCCTGTACACAGATCTACACTGAGGACAGCACGTGATGATCAGAGCAGAGAGCAGGCGGACGGCCAGAGAGACGGTCTACCTGGACATGGATCACCTGTTGCTGCTGCTGCTGCTGCTGCTGCTGCTGTGGAGCTCAGGTAGGACTTTAAACTGCACGTGTTAGAATTCATATCTCTTTACTGGATCAGGGAGAAAACCAGTATGAAAGGCTGTTCAGGGTGAAAACACTGAAAGACCTGCACAGTATTTAGGTGGCCTGGAGATATTTAGAGATCTAGCTGGAGGAGAGGAATTCAGCTGAAGAGCCACATATTCAAAAGAACAGGAAACTAAATGGCAGCTCCCCGTCCTTTCTGATGCTCGCTAGCTTCACTCATAAAGCTGAAGTATCTGGGTCTAACCAAGTCTCAGCTAAAAACAGGATATTAGATCGGGCCTGCTTTTTCCTGTCAAAGAGCTGACGTACAGCTACATTTAAGGTGTAAAGACCTTATCTGATTCAGTTTATGAGGTGTGAACATTTTCAGTATTTTCCCCATAAACGGAAAGAGCTGACGTACAGCTACATTTAAGGTGTAAAGACCTTATCTGATTCAGTTTATGAAGTGTGAACATTTTCAGTATTTTCCCCCTAAACGGCCTCTCACAGAACAAACTGCTCACAAAAAGAGTTTTTTGGACTCTCTAATTAGAAACTGCTTCTTCCAACTGAGAAACACTGTACATCCAAACTAAGAGCTCTGGTGTCAGAGGTTGAATTTGAGAGGATCATTCATGCTTTTATTTGGTCTTTATCTTGGTTTTATCATAAGTCTTAACAGGAAGAGTCTAAGATTTTTCTCAATTTGTTAACTTTAGGAATCCTATCTTATCTTCATCTTATGTTATCTAAGGTTAGTAAATCCTAAATACTTAATCCAACATCGGTTATCAACTTTTATGTCTGTTACCTAGCAACCGATGCCACTTTACTCATTTTGCAGAGCTAAACAACTTTTTTCGCAGTTTTTTGTAGTTTTTTAATGAAACATACTGTACATACAACTATCATTGAACTTCAAGTCAGATGACTTAGAGGTGTTTGTAACCTCAGTTGAGAAATCCAAATTCACGAAACGCTTAAGAGAGAGTGGGCTAAAATAGTGGACACCGTCACTGCTGCATATCTGGCATCCAGCAAAAATATTAATAAAGGCTGCGGCCTTCATGTTTTCATTAAGGCTGTTTCTTGATTTTAACGATCTCCAAAGACTCAAAGACTTGCAATAGGATCCTTTTGTTACATCAAGCCTTTACATTACGTTACATAATGAGATATTAGGCCTATCTGTTACACTGCCTACAGCCTTTCTACTAATGAGTGTTTTGTCACCAAACGCATCAGTAGAATCAATTAAGTTCTGCCTGTTGACATTTTGTAAAAGCAATTAAAGAGCTGCCATGTGGATTAAACAACTACCTCAGAAGGCTTCACTTTCAAGTGAAGGCAGCTCTGTTTACATTAGTTTCAAACAGTCTTCTAGGGCAGCACTTACGGCAACGTGTGACGTCAGCACGCCGTCTTGCGTCTCTTCTGGGTGTCAGAAGAGATGCTAGCCTTAGCATAAGCTAACTAGCTATTGAAAAGCCAAACGGCTAACAGACGCCACAGAAATCATACTGAACAAACATGGCTGTTTACAGTCACGGGCTGATATTATAGATCAATGTTTAGTTCTCGCTAGATTTTCAAAAATCGAAGCGAGAAAACTACTGCTTTACGGATAATAGTCAGCATCAAGCCACCATCGATGCTGCCTTCAAAATTGGCCATTACTGGGGCAGCTTGAAGTCATTTCAGGAGACAGGAAGAGATCATTCGAGCCGTTTCGAACAGCACTCGATGCCTCGCTGTCCTGTTGGACACCTTCTGAGACAGCAGTTTAGCCCGTTTTAAACACAGCCACAGAGCGCTGCATGGACACGGACACATCTCTGACTCTATAAAGCTTCACACTCCCACCTGTTGCACCTGAGGCTGTTAGTGGTTCCCCACAATCATTATAAAACCAGAGGGCATCGATCATTTCAAGCTGTGGAATGCATTGCCTCTGTTACTACGAAATTCTGTCAATTATTTTACTCTGCTATTCAAAGCTTTTAATCAGACAGGGCTTTATGGTTGTCTGATTTATGTTGATTTATTTCTTTCTTTTATGTACTGAATCTCACTGTGTTGTATTGATCACATTTTATTGTGAAGCACATGTCCTGGAGTGGACTGTCTGTCCCCACTCTTTCAGCTGAGGAGAATTTCTTTACGACTTTCTTTAAAAATGGATTATTGAACTTTAATGTTATCAATATTTAATAATACATGATACAAATATTACAAAAATAATCATGGCCACTTTTATTGAGAATAATTACAGTTGTACCTGTAATTCAGAAGTGACATGCTGACGTACTGCGGTAAGCGTGTTGACTCATTTCCATTTCCGGTGCTTGTGTGTTGGTAGTGTGTTTTGCTGCTCTCGCTAAATACCAGTTAAAGTTGTTAGATTTGTCATTACAGCAGCCAACTGTCCGCTAAACACTTATTCTTACAGTAATTTTGCCTAAGCTCTCACACTTCTTTCCATCTTTTAGTGACTGCTGTTCAATCTCATAGTTCAATTCAATTCAATTCAATTCAATTTTATTTTTTATAGCGCCAAATCACAACAACAGTTATCTCACAGCGCTTTTCATAAAAGAGCAGGTCTAGACCGTACTCTGTGATGTTATTTACAGAAGCCCAACAGTTCCCACCAAGAGCAAGCACTAGGAGACAGAGGCAAGGAAAAACTTCCTTTAAGAGGCAGAAACCTCGAGCAGAACCATGGCTCAGGGTGGGCGACCATCTGCCTCGACCGGTTGGGGTGAGAGAGAGAGAGAGAGAGAGAGAGAGAGAGAGAGAGAGAGAGAGGGATGGAAGGGAGAGAGAGAGAGAGAGGCAGCCTACACAATATACACACAGAGGTACAGACAGTAAAGGTGATGTTGCTATAGACTAAATGAAAAATGGTACAGATATTTATAGTAGTGTTAATGGTAACAGTCGTAATGTTAATGATTATAATAACAATAATAACAATAGGACTAGTAACAATAGTCGTTGCAGCAGAGGGTGTCGAGCAGGAACACGGGGGCAGCAGGTGACCCGCAACCACAGATCCAGACTCCACAGCTCCAGAGCCAGAAAACCTGCAGGAAGTGATAGGAGGAGAGGGTGCTTACAAGACTACGGGAAAGGGGAGAAGTTGAGTTTAGTAACATGCAATAATGGGATGAGGTTGCATACAGAGGGAGAGAAAGTTGTTTTCAAAAGTTGGTAGCTAACGCTACCGTACTTTAGCTTAGCCGTTAGCGACTTTAGCTTAGCAGCTAGCGGTGGCTTCTCCTTCTCCCTCTCTCTCTCCTACTTTCTCCTGCTCGGTGTGTCAGATGTTCAGTTACTCCTCTGCCTCCTTTAGCGGTAATGGTACATGTAATAAGTGTAGTTTATTTATAGACATGGAGGCGAGGCTCAGTGATTTAGAAGTCCGGCTCCGCACCTTGGTAGATCAGTCTTTTAGCTACTGTAGCTAGCCAGTCCCCGGTAGTCGGTGCGGAACGGCCTGAGTTAGCCTCTGGTAGCCGTCCTCCGGCATCCCCTGTGCAGCCAGGAAAGGGGGGCTGGGTGACTGTCCGAAGGAGGAATAGTCGTAGGCATTCAAAGCCCATGGGGCACCATCAACCTGTTCACGTTTCTAACAGTTTTTTTCTGTAGTTTTCTCTGGACCCCTGCGAAATCTGACCAGTGATAACATGTATATGTCGTCATTTTACCGCTGGTTGTTGAGGTGGTGTCTAGCAAACGATGTGGGCTTTGTAGTTCATTGGCAGACTTTCTGGGGAAGACCTGGTCTGATCCGGAGAGACGGCATCCATCCCACTTGGGAAGGAGCAGCTCTCATTTCTAGAAATCTCAAAGTTTATTGGTGGACCAAATCCATGACAACCCAGAGTTGAGACCAGGAGGCAGAGTGGCAGTCTAACACACTTCTCTGCCCTTCTATTTCAGCAGTTACCCACCCAAAACCCTACGCAGAGTCGCAGTCTAACACACTTCTCTGCTCCTCCATTTCAGGAATTACTTAGTGAAAATCCTATAGTGACGGTGTCTGTCCCCCGACCATTGAAATTATTTAAATCAAAGGTAAACAGAAGAGGAGCTGTGCATAAAAACCTAAAAAATTAAATAAAATTAAAAAATTAAAATCACAAGAGCAATAGCAGAAAAGAATAGGAGAATTAAATTTGGACTCTTAAACATCAGATCTCTCTCTTCTAAAGGTGTACTAGTAAATGAACTAATATCAGATTATGATATTGATTTATTTTGTCTTACTGAAACCTGGCTGGGTGATGGAGAATATGTTAGCCTAAATGAATCCACCCCTCCCCAGTCATATTAATAGGCACAGGCCGAGGAGGAGCTGTTGCAGCTATCTTCCACTCTAGCCTACTAATCAGCTCTAAACCTAAACTAAACTATAACTCATTTGAAAGTCTTGTTCTTAGTCTTTCACACCCAAGTTGGAAATCACTGACACCAATTCTTTTTGTTATAGTGTACCGAGCACCTGGTCCATACTCTGAATTCTTATCTGAATTTGCAGAGTTTTTGTCAACTTTAGTCCTTAAAACGGACAAAGTTATTATTGTAGGGGATTTTAATATTCATGTGGACATTGAGAATGACATTGTGACTTTAGTACTGCGTTTATCTCTCTGTTAGGTTCCATTGGCTTCTCTCAGAGTGTTCATGAACCGACTCACTGTTTTAACCACACCCACTTGTTTTGGTGTATGGTATTGAAAGTGAACATTTAATAGTGTTCCCACAGAATCCCTCTTTATCTGACCACTGTTTGATAACTTTTGAGTTTGTATTGCTGAACTACACGCCATCTGATAGTGCTGTAGCTAAATTTAAGGATGCGATTCTATCAGCTCTAAATTCATTATCAAGTCAAAGTAATGGAGGACTCCTATGCTAATTTCAGTCCCTCCCAAATCGATCATCTTGTTGATAGTGCTGCAGGCTCGTTGCGAATGACACTCGACTCTGTAA